AAACAACCGGCAGTGCAAGCTAGGAAAACCAAAGAAGGCGGAAGGGTCGCCGCCAGAACAGGACCCGAACCAAGGGGCATGAACAACTGCAATAGACCGAGACAAAGAAACACATCACAGGACACAGGCTGACCAACGCCTAAGAACACACGCAGAACATCCCTGCTGCAGAGGAGGCAGGAAGAAAGAGCAGAAGCACAAAAAAAAAAAAAAAACCCAGGAGAACAACCAGGGGTGGACAATCAGGCAGGGACAAAAACCCCACGCAATTCCCAGGCACAAAACGGCAGCAAAGTGCCACTCCACAACCGGACACAGGAACAAGGACACGCCACCGTGAAACACGGTACCAATGCACACGTGCAGCAGCAGCAACAGGCATCACTGCAACATGCAACATGTAAATAGCAACTCCCCTCTGCAAAGGCAGAGAACGGAGCAGGCAGACCCCAGACAGGGCCAACGGAGACACGACAAAACCCTGCAGGCCCAGAAACCTGCACCAGGCGACCGACGGCGGAGAAACCCCGTTCGATACCTGCTGGATGAGGCACTGGGAGCTCTTTTACACCTGAAGCCCGGCCCAAGGTCAGGCCAGACCGGCCAGAGGATGGCCCACCAGGCAACTGCTAGGAGCAGTCCACCGGCCCACATACCCCCACAACCAGGACGGGCCGGAACCGCCATACGAAAACAGGCCAGTGCGCCCTGGAAGTCCACGGACGAACCAGCAAGAAGGCTTATGCTCGCAAGTAGGTCGTGTAACAAGCACAGACCACTGATGGTAATACAGTGTTCCCCAAAAGTGCCAATAGCACCACTGCACTCCACTGGTACTATCCCGCAAGTTCTACCAGATAGGCGGGACCCAAGAGCCAGAGCTCAAATCCTGCAAGCACAGCCAGGAGCCTCACCAGGTGAGTACAGAACCAACCCTACAACCCCCACACCTCACAACATTAAAAAAGGAGGGTCCCCTGAATGACTCCAGCATGGGTTGGACATGCACATGAGGGGGACAGGAAGGGGTGATAAAGGGACAGTCACTGGTGTGCGAACGGTCTCAGTCGTACAAAAATATACCTAAATAAAGACAGGTATATAAACACCGCCGCATCCAGCGCCCGGCCAAAAGACGCCAGACCGCAGAAACTCACCTGGCGAATGGTGGCACGAACTTGACATGACTCAACCATGCCCAGAAGAACTTGGGAGCACCGCCAGGTGAAGACGCCAGAGCCGGACCCTGCCGGACCCGCAGGAGAACAGGGAGAGGCGAAGGAGGCGGTCCACACCCATGACACAGGGAAAACCGCGGTGTCCTCCCCACAACTAGGAACCAGGACGCCCCCGGCGCGAAGGGGCACAAACCGCAGCCAGGGAGAAGAACGAGAGGCGAAGCACTGTAGCAAAAAAGGGCGCAAAACCCCAGCACTGAAACACCGCCCAGACCAAAACAAACTCCACGGCGCATGCGCATAACACGCTGGCCGAACCGCACACCCTCCCTGCGGGAAGGCGCCAGCCAGGACTATTGCACGAGAAAAGTAGCTAAAAGAGGAAGCAGGAACAATAAAACCGGCCAAAGAAACAAAGAGCCCAAAAGGGAACCCAACCGGGCGACAAGTAGCCCAACCGGGCGACAAGTAGCCCAACCGGGCGACAAGCAGCCCAACCGGGCGACAAGTAGCCCAACCGGGCGACAAGTAGCCCAACCGGGCGACAAGTAGCCCAACCGGGCGACAAGTAGCCCAACAGGGCGACAAGTAGCCCAACAGGGCGACAAGTACGAGGAGCCGACAGACGTTCCAATAATGCGGGAAGTAGCGAAAAACCTTCCCGTACCCTCGAGAACACAGAAGCCAACACTAGTCCCGAAGGCACACGAAGGTGCAGGCGCACCCGAGATCAGAAGTCACGCAGAACCCCATCGAACGGGGAAACATGACAAAAACACCGTCCCAAAAAGGGGGGTAGGAAACATCCACCCACAGGACGGAACCAACCGACTCAAAGGCCAAGGAACCGAGCCCGGGGAGGGGCCGACGTCCAACAGCACGTACAGCGAGTGGGGAGGAAAGACCCCACTTCGCGTAACCACAAGCCCCGCCTAGAGGGGGATAAAAACCCCCACGGGGTCTAACGGGGCCAAGGACCCCCAAGTCAGCCCCTCCCCAGCCCCGGGAACCTACACGACAGGCCCCGGGGCCGAGCCGTTCCCCCAAAGCCCCGGCCGTACCAGAAAACCGGGGCAGCCGTGAAAACACTAAGGAAGGGAGCCCACTGGCAGACTCATACAACACGGCTGGAGGAACAGGCCCAAATGCTCCCGTCACTACCCCGGAAGGGGAATTCCCCGAGACTGCCCGAGTCTCAACACCACCAAAAACCCCGCCCCGAACCTACAGACGGTAAGGAACCGGATGCAGGCAGGAAGGGTGAACCAGGGGAAAGACAAGGGGGCGTGGATGGAACCGAAGCAACCAACACCCCCAAGTCCCAAAACGAACTACAACGGGGCAGCCCCGGGGCTCCCGGGGAGGAAACCACGAGAACGTTGCCACCACCAAGGCTCAAGTGTAACGCCCCTGCTGCCCGCACCCGCTTTGTTAGCACAACTGGGTAACCGAGCCACAACGAGCAACCAAACTCGCAGGACTCCGGGTCGAAGGTGTCACCGACCCCACAGGCAGCAGACGGAGGCAAAACAGAGAGTCACCCAGAGACAAAGGGCGAGAGCAACCCTCAAACTCGCTGGAAGCGAGGGGGGGACTCTGGGGTCACATCCATCGGACCCGCGCGCCCCCAGGGGTTTCCCAGGGTCCCGAGCGTTTACTTTAAGAGGACTCGCGCTCAGGTAATCCCAGGCAGGGTACTGCTAACCGGCACCCAAAGCTACCAAACAACTTTCTAAGAGCTGAACCCCCGGGACGTGTACACTCACGGGGACCTAGCAGGGGGTACCACCAGAAAATACTCAGAACACAAGGGACACAAGGGGCAAGAACGAAGGCAGACCCCCCACCAGGTAGATAAACAAAAAGAAAAAGAAAACCCCGCAAGAGGACAGCGTACCCAAGCGGAACAGAGCCGGCCGCTATGATTGGTAAAGACTAGATGCACAGTACCCCGCGCCCCACCAGTGCAAACACTGCCCCTTACTCTAAGGCGAACAAGGGAGACAGAACACCCGAGCACACAAAGAGCGGCCGAAAACCAAGAAGTAAACGGCCAAGCAGGGGCAGGACCCAAGGAACTTGTGGAAGGTGGCCCCAAGCCCCAAGGGCAGTACTTACAGGGCACCTAGGGAAGGGAACCCTAGGCGCATGCAGCCCGAGTACTGGAGAATCACTCCCGGCTCACGCACCACCTAGAAAACAGACACCACACTCTAGGTACAGTGCTGACACAACCACTGGAGCCGGAGCACATAACCATTGCCTATAGCATCAGCCGAAGAACTGATGGGTGGATAGCCGGCGTGGGAGGTCTGGGGCTCCCCCTTCCCCCTCCCGGGGAGGGGGGAGCTGCGCAGACAGCGGCGCGGTGACGTATGACGTCATACTAGTTTCCTTGTTTTCTGTTGAAGAGTTCTATCCACTAGTTCGGCTTAGGTAGCAATTTTCACCAGAATAGGGGTTTGTTTTGGAATGCTTACCTTTCTGGATGCTTGACCCGGTCGATGGCAGACATAGAATGCTTCCAACCACACGGGGGTTTCTATAGGCCATTGCTCCCCTTGCCTCTCTGAGGGGGCCAGGTTCTGGCTCGTGGTCCCCGGTAGGCCCTAGAACTCCATACACATGACTGATGCCAAAGTCTGACATTAACATATCAGCCGGTAAAGCTCCGGGGAGCCGACGGGGCTCCCCCCAGAAAATCTTGTTAACCCTTCATGATTACAAATGTACTTATCATCGTGAATGTTACTACCGGAATACAGTCATCATACGACAATTTAAACAATGTCTGGATTTCATATGCACGATGCAAATATGGATATAATAGCTCTCTATGGATTTTAACAAAGAGAAACAAATTATAAAACAATCTGTGAAAAATTGGAGGAAAAAGCAGGAAGCGTCAGCAAAGTAGAGCACCGAGTGTAGATAGGCGCTAGAAATGCACAGCTTTGCAGAGTGCCACTACCCAGTGAAACAATAAATGTTTACTTATTTTCGTGTTTTTCTTACACTTTACAGAATTACAGTGGAACCTCAAGTGACGAGCGCCTCAATTTACGAGCATTTTGAATAACGAGCGTGCCGATCACCAACAATTTCTCTCGATTGGCGAGCGTTCGTTTGAAAACTACATGGTGCGTTCCCACTGCTTCTCACACATTCTCGGACGCCTCCGACGATGCAAATAAATTATTTTTTTGTTTAAAGATGCAAATGATGCTGGGATGTAAAGAGGTAACTGCTGTGATGTTGCAAAGCATTGAATTTTTTTTGTAGAATTAACAAAAAAAAAAAAAATTGAAAAAAAGAACAAATGTCAAAAAGGTTCATTCAGTGTATGTCAGGTAGGCTGCTTCATGTTTCTTAAAAAAAATAAAAATAAAATGAACAAATTTGAAAAAAGGAAAAATGTCATAAAGGTTCATTCAGTGTATGTCAGATAGGCTGCTCCATTATTTAAAAAATTGAATATCATATTAATGTTTTTCAGTGGAGGAATAGATTATTTTTATTTCCAATACTTTAAATGGAGAAATGTTTTGAAAGACGAAAATTTCACGTGACGAGCTCGATGCCGGAACGGGTTAAATTTGTTAATCGAGGTTCCACTGTATTAATTTGTATGCAATGAAAAATAATTTTTTGAATTTTTTGCTTACATACTCGGTCACTCGCTCACAGACAAGTGTGACCATTTCTAGAAACCTAGTATCAAAGGGTTACTATAGTACAGTACCTACAAAATCAATGTTCTTCTCAAACATTTGTTGTTATTAAGACTGAAATTCTTAGCAGATTTATACATGAAGAACTTACAGTGAGTTGAAGAATTTGCTCATGTGCATTGGTGGGGTGCTGCCAGACTGGCGTCACCTCGGCTGTCAGCTCCACCCTGAAGCCCACATCCTTGGTGGTGGACACAGGCAGCGGCTGTGGCTCGTTCAACAACACTGATGTCTCGTACCCGTATATATACAGGGTACCCACCTCAAATTGGCGTGTGTATGCTGAAAATAGAGAAATGTGATAACATTTTAGAAATACTGTAGCACAAATATCAGCAAACTGCAAGACTGTAAAGACAACCAAAATTGTTTAGTCATGGTGAATGACAGTAGGTAATTTAGAGTATTCAAGTGAAAACATTGGTAGGAGAAGAAGAACGAAAAGATGATGGGCAGACATGGTGAGAGTGAGAGTACAGATAATGGGGTGGGAAATAAAGCTAAGAGGCATCAGTTTGTGAAGAATAAATGTTGGTTGTATAGTTGTATGAGCACACAAGTCCATACTCCCAGGTCAGGGGCGGTGAACCTTTTTTGAGAGCGGCAATATTGGTAATAATCTAATACAAAAAAATGATCTCGCATGCCATGGGAATGTTGAGCCAGATATGATTATTATATTTGTATTTTATCATTTTTATGAAGAACAAAATACTTGACTGCATTCTTAAACAAGTCTGTTCAGGCAACCAATGACTTATGAACTGCTTTAAATGGTACAGATATTGGAAATTCATGTTTTCATTAAATTCATTAGTAATTCCCAAGAAGTAAAATTAATGAATTATAACAATAATACAGCAATTAACTTTTAAAGAAGATGAAGTCTTGTTGCTCATATATATGTACAGTATGCTGATTATTATTTTACCACTAACAAAAGTATACCGAGATTAAAATAAATTAAAGATTTTTAGAAAGCTTGGAAAGAAGCAAAATTAAAGTTTTAGAAAGAAACAAAATTATTACTATTAATGTTTTTAACAAGACAACTGAGAAATAACAATTTATGAAAAATATTTTACCTAATAAGTAATAAGAAATAAGCTTTAGTTCATATTATCAAACTTGAAAAAAGTGAGAGTAAATAATGTTATTTTACAAAGATAAGTTTTGTTGCCAAACCAACAATGATATTTTATATCAGGCTTGTATTTGGTTGCTATGCATGCAGCACTAGTGTCATTGTTAGTAAGTCTGCTCCTATAATTAGACATAAATTTCCTCAATGAAAACAATGAATCGTAGGGACACAGTATATCAATGAAAATGCTGTTAAAATTGCTAATGCGAAAGTTTCAAACATAAAAGTTTCAGGAGTGGAATTTGAGTTTCAAAACCTCATTTTCTGCATTAAACTAGCCATTCTGTAACTGATCTCTTTCAATATCTTCTAGTTCAGCTCTTATAACAAATTTTTGCCTCCAAACTGACTGATCAGTTTTGTTAATCAATCAGTTACATCACCAAATTTTCTGAATTTAGTAAATCTTAAAGAAAACTGATCAGCAATTGATGATGCTCAAAAATTACATTTGAGGGCTCTGAATATCTGCTTTCTCGTGAATTTTAAAATTTGTCATGTGCTATTGTAGGTTTATGAAATACAATACAGTATTTAGAAATGATATTGTCAACAACACATTCAAAAGTTTTGAATTTGATTTGAAAGGCTTTTAATTTATCAAACCTAAAACAATTTGGCAAGATGCCTGTAATTTGGTGTTCAGGTCATATAAATGTGATAATTCTGTAGAAAAACAATCTACAAATCCATATATCAGATAATATTAACAAAAAAATAATTCATCAGAAAGATAAGTTTTATTCAAAATCGTCTAATCCAACAAATCGTTTAAGGACAGAACCTCTACCAAGCCAATGAGCATTGTTGTACACAGGTAGTACTGTGAACACACAATTCACCTCACTCAGTTAATTCTAAAATTGTTTTTTCTGGGGGGCACTCTTGTGGCTCCCTAAAGCTACTATCTCTGATTGTGTGTCATAATAGTAGGTCCCATCAGTCGTCGAGTTCAATAGACATACAGTACTGGGTCTATAGCTGCGTGTGACAAGAGCCAGAATCTGGCCTCTAACAGAGGCGGCATTCAAGTATTAAGCTATTTATGCATGCCACCTACCGGGAAAGGCACCCAGAATGTCAGTGAAACAAAACAAACCATTACAGGCTTCAAGAGAGATCGTAGTCTTGAGAATCACAAAGAACTCCCCAAACCTTGTAAACAAAAAAACCTAAAAAAGGCTTTCGACAGAGTTCCACATAAGAGGTTGTTCTGGAAACTGGAAAATATTGGAGGAGTGACAGGTACGCTTTTAACATGGATGAAAAATTTTCTGACTGATAGAAAAATGAGGGCTGTGATCAGAGGCAATGTATTGGACTGGAGAAATGTCACAAGTGGAGTACCACAGGGTTCAGTTCTTGCACCAGTGATGTTTATTGTCTACATAAATGATCTACCAGTTGGTATACAGAATTATATGAACATTATTTGCTGATGATGCTAAGATAATAGGAAGGATGAGAAACTTAGATGATTGTCATGCCCATCAAGATGACCTGGACAAAATAAGTATATGGAGCACCACTTGGCAAATGGAATTTAATGTTAATAAATGCCATGTTATGGAATGTGGAATAGGAGAACACAGACCCCACACAACCTATATATTATATTATTCCATTTGCCAAGTGGTGCTCCATATACTTATTTTGTCCAGGTCATCTTGATGGGCATGACAATCATCTAAGTTTCTTATCCTTCCTATTATCTTAGCATCATCAGTAAACATGTTCATATAATTCTGTATACTGTATTAGATTCTTGCCCGAAACGCATTGCGTAATAGTGGCTTTAGGCATTGTATGTACTAGCTCTATCTATATATCAATCCATTAATGTAACATCACTTGTATGTATGTACCTTACCTGAATAAACATATTTATTTATTTATTATTTATATTATGTGAGAAATCTTTAAAGAATTCTGATAAAGAAAGAGATCTAGGGGTGGTTCTAGATAGAAAACTATCACCTGAGGACCACATAAAGAATATTGTGCGAGGAGCCTATGCCACGCTTTCTAACTTCAGAATTGCTTTTAAATACGTGGATGGCGATATACTAAAGAAATTGTTCACAACTTTTGTTAGGCCAAAGCTAGAATATGCAGTGGTTGTGTGGTGCCCATACCTTAAGAAGCACATCAGCAAACTGGAAAAGGTGCAAAGACATGCTACTAAGTGGCTCCCAGAACTAAAGGGCAAGAGCTACGAGGAGAGGTTAGAGACATTAAATATGTCAAAACTAGAAGACAGAAGAAAAAGAAGTGATATGATCACTACATACAAAATAGTAACAGGAATTGATAAAATCAATAGGGAAGATTTCCTGAGACCTGGAACTTTAAGAACAAGAGGTCATAGATATAAACTAGCTAAACACAGATGCCGAAGAAATACAAGAAATTTCACTTTTGCAAACAGAGTGGTAGACGGTTGGAACAAGTTAGGGGAGAAGGTGGTGGAGGCCAAGACTGTCAGTAGTTTCAAAGCGTTATATGACAAAGAGTGCTGGGAAGACGGGACACCACGAGCGTAGCTCTTATCCTGTAACTACACTTAGGTAATTACACTTGGGTAATTACAACCTAACGAAAACTTAATGAAACCAGTGCCAGCTCATTTGCCCCACTTTCCCCACTTATTTCGGGGAAAAAGGGAGGCAGCCTACAATCGGTGGGCTGCTCTACCATCAGTTCTATCTGATAGTAGCGGGAGTCGAGCCGCCCCCCTGTCGCTCTGGCTCCAGCCTCTGCTTTCAGCAAAGTGGTTGTTTTTGCCTTGTGGATGTTCCTGTACATTTTCATGTAGTGTTAGCCAAGAATTAAGAGTGCATGCAGTTGCATGCACTCAGGTTTATTTTCCTTGTGCGCTCTTTACTGTTGACCTTGTACTGGGATATCTTCCCTGGAGTGTTTGGGGATCGCTTCCTTAGAGGGCCTCCTTACTTGTGGTGGCCCTTGCTCTAGGCAAGTCAGTTGTCTTTGGCGTTCTGTCTGTCCTCAGGTAGGGAGTGATTTTGGCTGGTGGGTACACTGGTGATTCACAAGCTTCAATTACAGTGCAGAAGTTAGCCTATGTGCCACATGTGACTGACTGCATTGGCTTACTTGTATTTCCTCATACAATTATGATGTAGAATCCCAGTGCCTGGGTGTTCTGTTTGGTAAACTACACTGCGGATTTGGTGGTCTGATGGATATAACCCCTAAACCCACTCTCGCTTCATGAGAGTTTGAGGGTTGAATTTGCCCGTACCATATGGCAACATTCATTTCTTCTGCCCACACCATGCTGCCTGTTGGGTCGGTGCCTTCGACCCTGAATTATGTGGGATTTACTCCCATCATTCTACTCTCCTTACTGACCCCCCCTTAAAAGGTTGGAGCTTTTCAGGCAGTAACCACTTTGCATCCTGGGTATCCCGTGTTGCTGCTGTCTACGTTGTGCGCCCAGTTGGATGCCCCAGTTGGTGTTTAGGAACCTAAAATTGGAGGCGTTGGTTAACTCAACCTTGGCTCCATCCGCACCTCCTCTTCCTTCCAATTCAGGCATGGTTCATCCTTCCTCTGATCTTTTTCCCTTCTCCTAAAACATTTATTTCTAGCCTCTTTATTACTAATTATATCTTGTACTGTATACCTAGCCCTAAAAGTATGTGGCAATGCTTGGAATTATACTGCATATGTACAGGAAGAAATGTTTGTTATCATCACCCCGTAGCATGTTCAGTAATATGCTGTTTGTATGTGATGTGTGTAAATAATAAACCAGGCATGACGGGGCAGATCTCATTGAAACTTAAAATACTGAACAATTTGAACGATGCTGATCCAGACAATTTCTTCAAAAGGTCAGATGAAACACGAACAAGGAGCAATGGGTTCAATTTCAACAAACCACAATATAGGACTGAAAATAGGAGATGCTTTTTCACCCATAGGGTTGTAAACCCGTGGAATCGCCTACCCACCGAAGCCGTAATGCCAAAACTCTGCTAGGTTTTAAAATACTGCTGGAAAAGATCATCGGGGCAAATGGATAGACCTCTGACAACCCACCGGCTTCCTATCCTCGTTGAGGCCACTAGTATTAGAGGCCCTCAGGTAAATTCAAGTATAATTAATATAAGGAGAGTATCAGAAAGGAACTCTGAAAACGATATTGCAATGAAAGCGAAAAAGCAATCTAAATTACTACATAATCATATAAGAAGGAAAAAGCCGGTGAACGACCAAGAGACAAAACTAAGGAAAACAGAAGGCGGCATATACAAAAAGCGATAAGAAAATCTGCGAGGTACTGAATGCCAGTTTCCATGGAGTGTTCACAACCGAGCCTGACCAGCTCCCATTGTTGGAAAAGGAGATGATCTAAGATGACAGACTAACAGATACAGAAGTGACAGCAGTGGTGGAATGGCAGCAGATACAGAAGTGACAGCAATGAAATGGCTAACAACACTGGATGAAACTAAAGCAGTTGGACCAGACAATGTATCACCGTGGATACTAAAAGAGCCAGTGCAGGCCCTCAGTGTGCCTCTACCAAGGATCTATAATGAGTAACTTATGAAGGGAGAGTTGCCCAGTTACTGGAAGGCAAATGTGGTAACAATTTAAAAAAAGAAGGAGATATGGAAGAGGCCCTTAACTACAGACAAGTATCACTGACGAGCATTCCCTGTAAAGTACTTGAAAGAATAATCGGGTTAAGACTGGTTACACGCCTAGAGAACATTAAGAATGCAAAGAAACACCAACATAGGTTCAGAAAAGGAAAATCATGCCTAACAAACCTTCTTGAATTCTATGATAGAGTAACAAGAATAAGGCAGGAAAAAGAAGCATGGGCAGACTGCATATTTCTAGACTGCCAAAAAGCCTTTGACAAAGTACTGCACAGGAGACTGCTATTCAAACTTGAGAGGTAAGCGGGAGTAAGTGAAAAAACCCTAACTTGGATACAGAATTACTTAACAGGTAGGAGCCAGAGAACACAGTCAGGGGTGAGAAGTGAAACTGGCAAACCATAACGAGTGGAGAACCTTAATGATCAGTGCTAGGCCCAGTTCTATTTCTAATATATGTGAACGACATGTCTACACGAGTAGAGACCTATATGTCGATGTTTGAGGATGACGCGAAATCAATGAGACGAGCTGTGAAAGATGAGGATTGTAGGATACTCCAAGAGGATTTGAACAAGCTGCAGAGATGGCTACTGGAGTTCAATATGAGCAAGTGTAAAGTTATATAAATGGAACTATGTGACAGGAGACCAAAGGGTCAGAACACAATGAAGGGAAACTACCTTCCTGTGACGATTCGAGAAAGGGACCTGGGAGTGGACATAACTTCATCATCTAACTCCTGAGGTACATATAAATTTGATTATAACAGCAGCATACTTCACTCTAGCAAAAATTAGATCATCATTCAGAAACCTAGGTAAGGAAGCATTCAGAGTAGACATTACACTGCCTATGAGAGACTAGTTTAAGAGTATGTAGCCCACCATCATGGAGCCTCCACCTAAAGAAACACATTAGGAAACTGGAAAAGATTAAAAAATTTGTGATGAGGCTAGTCCCGGAGTTGCATGGGATGGGATATAAAAAGCGACTGAAGGAACAGAACTTGAAGACTTTAGAAAAAATTAGGGAGCAGTGAGATATGATAGCAGCATACAAGATACTAAGGGGGATTGACAGTGAATAAAAGACGAAATGTTTACACGGAATACTAACAGAACAAGGGGACATGGGTGGGAACTGGACTCAGATGAGTCAGAGATGTTAAAAAGTTTTCTTTTAGCGTGAGAGTAGAGGGGAAATAAACTAAAGGAGCACATTGTGGAAGCAAACACTATTCGCAGCTTTAAAATTATGTATGAGAGAGAAGGAGGAGTCATTGTTATAGACAACCAAAGGCTAGAAAAGTGGGATCCAGAAGAGCAAAGCCAATGCTTGATACTGCAGGCACAAATAGGTGAGTACACACTATGATAACTACCACACGCACACATGCACACACACGCACGCACACACACACACAAATAAGAACTACACGACAGTAAGGAGAGAGGAACTTTGTGAACGGTATAGCAGACAAATGTAAATCAGATCCAGGCCTTTTCTATAAATTCATTAAAAACAAGCTGCAGGTAAAGGATAATATTAAGAGGTTGAAAATGGGGGACAGATACAAGGAAAATGAAAGGAAATGTGTGAAACATTAAACGAAAAGTTCCAAAGTGTGTTTGTACAAAATGTGGAAAAAAAATGAGGAAAAAAATGAGTTTTTCTTCAGAGAACCAGACACAATAAGAATTCCAGGAAACAGCGTAGAGCACATAGAGGTGTCTAGAGACGAAGTTAAACAAATGCTCCTGGAGCTAAGTAAGAACAAAACAGTTGGCCCAGATGGAGTTTCACCATGGGTTCTGAGAGAATGTGCACCTGAGCTCAGCATTCCACTTCAGCTGATTTTTCAGACATCCCTGTGTACAGGAGTCGTAGCAGACGTGTGGAAACAGGATAACAGTTCCAATTTACAAAAGTGGCAGCAAGGAGGACCCCCACAATTACAGATCTGTATCATTGGCAAGTGATACAGTTCAAAGTATTGGAAAAACTAATAAAAACTAAATGGGTAGAACACCTGGAGAGAAATGATATATCAGAGAGACAGTATGGTTTTCGATCTGGAAAATCCTGTGTATCGAATTTACTCAGTTTCTATGATTGAGCCACAGAGATTTTACAGAAAAGAGATGGTTGGGTTGACTGCATCTATCTGGACCTAAAAAAGGCTTTCAACAGAGTTCCACATAAGAGGTTGTTCTGGAAACTGGAAAATATTGGAGGGGGTGACAGGTAAGCTTCTAACATTAATGAAAATTTTTCTGACCGATAGAAAAATGAGGGCAGTAATCAGAGGCAATGTATCGGACTGGAGAAATGTCACAAGTGGAGTAATACAGGGTTCAGTTCTTGCACTGGTGATGTTTATTATCTACATAAATAATCTACTAGTTGGTATACAGAATTATATGAACATGTTTGCTGATGATGCTAAGATAATAGGAAGGATAAGAAATTTAGATGATTGTCATGCCCTTCAAGAAGACCTGGACAAAATAAGTATATGGAGCACCACTTGGCAAATGGAATTTAATGTTAATAAATGTCATGTTATGGAATGTGGAATAGGAGAACATAGACCCCACACAACCTATATATTATGTGAGAAATCTTTAAAGAATTCTGATAAAGGGAGAGATCTAGGGGTAGTTCTAGATAGAAAACTATCACCTGAGGACCACATGAAGAATATTGTGCAAGGAGCCTCTGCTATGCTTTCTAACTTCAGAATTGCATTTAAATACATGGATGGCGATATACTAAAGAAATTGTTCATGACTTTTGTTAGGCCAAAGCTAGAATATGCAGCTGTTGTGTGGTGCCCATATCTTAGAAGCACATCAACAAACTGGAAAAGGTGCAAAGACATGCTACTAAGTGGCTCCCAGAACTGAAGGGCAAGAGCTACGAGGAGAGGTTAGAAGCATTAAACATGCCAAAACTAGAAGACAGAAGAAAAAGAGGTGATATGATCACTACGTACAAAATAGTAACAGGAATTGATAAAATCGACAGGGAAGATTTCCTGAGACCTGGCACTTCAAGAACAACCTGGTTACCTGGTTGATACCTGGTTGATGGGGTTCTGGAGTTCTTCTACTCCCCAAGCCCGGCCCGAGGCCAGGCTCGACTAGTGAGAGTTTGGTCCACCAGGCTGTTGCTTGGAGCGGCCCGCAGGCCCACATACCCACCACAACCCGGTTGGTCCGGCACTCCTTGGAGGAATAAATCTAGTTTCCTCTTGAAAATGTCCACGGTTGTTCCGGCAATATTTCTTATGCTTGCTGGGAGGACGTTGAACAACCGCGGACCTCTGATGTTTATACAGTGTTCTCTGATTGTGCCTATGGCACCTCTGCTCTTCACTGGTTCTATTCTACACTTTCTTCCATGTCGTTCACTCCAGTACGTTGTTATTTTACTGTGTAGATTTGGTACTTGGCCCTCCAGTATCTTCCAGGTGTATATTATTTGATATCTCTCTCGTCTTCTTTCTAGCGAGTACATTTGGAGGGCTTTGAGACGATCCCAATAATTTAGGTGCTTTATTGCGTATATGCGTGCCGTATATGTTCTCTGTATTCCCTCTATTTCAGCAATCTCTCCTGCTCTGAAGGGGGAAGTGAGTACTGAGCAGTACTCAAGACGGGACAACACAAGTGACTTGAAGAGTACAACCATTGTGATGGGATCCCTGGATTTGAAAGTTCTCGTAATCCATCCTATCATTTTGCTGGCTGTCGCAATATTTGCTTGGTTATGCTCCTTAAACGTTAGGTCGTCAGACATTATTATTCCCAAATCCTTTACATGCTGTTTTCCTACTAAGGGTACATTTGATTGTGTTTTGTACTCTGTATTATATTTAAGGTCCTCATTTTTACCGTACCTGAGTACCTGGAATTTATCA